AAAGTTGCATCCCTAGGGTACCATGCCAGAAAAAAATAAACACTGGCAACCTGGGGGGATGTCAGTGAAAATATTATTACTCTGTCAGTTTTCATTCGTCATCTGCATACAATCTAAGTAAACCACTTACTTTTTCTTATTTGAATGGGAGATGAGTGTTTAGGTGGGATGCTTAACTGATTTATTTATTTAATATATTTATACCCCACCCTCTCACACCCCAAAGGGGACTCAGAGCGGCTTACAAGTTATATGTAAATACATTATATTATTAGCATAGCACGATATTAGTATTATATATTACTATATTGTGCTATACCACTATACTGTAATATTATTAGTAATATTACATGTAATATATATTATATTATTATATTTTATTATTACTTTATATTGTATTCCTTTCTAATATTATGGTCAATATTATATGTACATACAATATATTATTAGCATAGCACAATATTAGTATTATATATTACTATATTGTACTATACCACTATATTGCAATATTATTACATGTAATATATAATATAGAATTACCAATATTAGTAATATTACATGTAATATCTAATATAAAATAATAATATTATATTATTATATTATTATATTGTATTATATTAATAATACAATTGTATTATTGTATTATTATATTGTATTATATTAATAATACAATTATATAATATAATGACTTGCTCCAGATTAGGGGAGTTTTGGGAGTTAAAGGCAAAGAGAGCACATAACCACTCTGATCTTCTCTTTCCACAGCTGGCTTGCATTCTTGGAGTGGTGTACCTTACGGGGTTCGCTACTGTCCTTGCTTCTGCAGCAGTCGTACATCACACTGTACATGTGAAAAGGGCTGGTCCTATGGAGCTGCTTGGCCCTAAGGGTACTCTAGCTCCATGCCTGCCTGTCCCATCTTCAGTCCAGCCGGATCGTAACTTGGAGCTCCCTAATAGCTCTCCATGCCTAGCAGCAGAGAATCAAACCTTTCATGGTGAAGAACAACAGCCTGGAAGCAATGGTGTCACGGCTACAGCACTCTACCTATGGAGCAGTGTCCTTAATGCATTATCTTACTCACCACCAGCTCCTATCAGTCCCTCACGTTGCTCACGTTGTAGTCAATCCACCACCTGCATGGCAACCAACCACACGTCTTGTGCCCGCCCTGCTACACAGTCGGCTCCCTCTGGACTTCCTACCTATTGCACAAGTTGTTCATGTGGAAATTGGCACCTTTCCATGTCTCCTAACTGCAAAGACTGGCCTGATCCACTGGCACTGCAACAGTGTTCCTCACAGGCTGCCTTGGAGCTTGGAAGGATCAAGGCATTCATCTTTCCTAGCTAGGGATATAGCTTAATCACTGGTGTGGTGAGACTGGGGCATCTAGATGGGAGTTTCTATGTGTGTCTGAAAGACATAGGACACAAAGAAGGAAAATGCTGGGAAATGGAAAAGCTGATGGGTTTCGTGGACTTTATCACAGTTCTCCTTCCTGGGTATAACTTCAAGACCTTTTTGTCCCTTCCCACCCCCTTTGCAAACTATTGGCAGCTGTGCTTAAAGGCTTCAGGGAGTATATTGGAGGTGTAGATCCCATCATAATGCCAGGCTCAACTCCAGCAATGATGTTTGGGTTTGGTGCAACCTTTAGCTGAGCCATTACTTGCCCTGGAGGACCTGGCTGAGTTGTTGCTCAATGAATAGAACTTGGTGTGTCTTCACATGGATTGGGCTGCTTGCAGAAGACACTATGAACCGCCTCCTAGCTTGAATCTCTTGTGTGTTGACTTGTTGGGACACTTAGAAGTAAGGATCCATGGCTACTCGCACGCACAGTGGCGAGAGCTAGCCAGCAATTCTCTATGTTTAAGGTATCGAGTGATTTACTACTTAGTTTAATGTTAATGTGTGAATTCATCTTACTGTCCTGAGCTTTCTAGTAAAGACAGAACCTCTTGCATTCTAAGAATCATGCCGGAGTTGCTAAGGTTTTCTTCAGCCATAGCACTGGAAAAAGGGTACCAATTACAATTGAGGCTCAGGGCCCCATTAGATCCATGGTTCTCAACCTGTGGGTCCCCAGGTGTTTTGGCCTACAACTCTCAGAAATCCCAGCCGGTTTATCAGCTGTTAGGATTTCTAGGAGTTGGAGACCAAAACATTGGGGGAACCACAGGTTAAGAACCACTGCATTAGATCAATCCAATAACTCTTAACTTATTCTTGTGAGAGCTTGACTGCCCCCTGCAGTTCTTAGAATTGAGGAGGAGTGGTGGAGGGATGGCAATCACATCCTTCACTTTATTTCCACCAGCAATGTCCTTTTCATTGTTTCTTGTAGATGAGATCTCTTCTAATAAAGGTAGCTATGGATGCCTGTGTCTTGTGTTTTTTCCCTTTATGAAACCTGCAGAGAAGTACTACCAGTCATTTCTTGTTTTCTTTCTTATGCTATATGGGAGGAGTATCAGTAAAGACACAGCGAGTTCAAATTTCATGAGTGAATTCAAATTTGCCTTTTGAGAAATGTAAAACATTTTGGCAAATATCTATTGTCACATTGTCAGGGCTCTGCCTTATTCAGGTAGAGATGAACCAAACAAATACCCAGTTTGTATCAAGCAGTTTAATTAAAACAGCACTTACTTTCTGGATGTTTTAATAGTCCAAAATATAAAACGTAAAGATAGCACTCAGCCACAGAATATAAAACAAAAACAGCAAACACTGTTGCAGGTTCAAGATAACTCCGTAGTCAAAAGGTCCAGTCCAGTGGTCAAACGCCAAGAGTGCAATAAGCAAAGTCCAGGGATCAAGAGTCTATACTGTAGTCAAAACCAGTCCAAAGATTCAAGGTTCCAGGATTCCAAAGTTTCAGGAGACAGGTCAGGACACCGAAAATCCACAAACTTGGGGGGAAACCAGCATCTACCACCAAGATAACACAAATACTTTTCTCCCAAAGATCAGTCCCAAGGCTAGCTCCTTATATCCAGAAACACCCAGCTGCAACCCATTTCTTGCATACTTCCACCCTTAATTGCTTTCACCCATGAACTCTTACTTATAGATTACTCAACCCTTTAGAAATAAGACTTAAATTAACCCATCACCAACTGCTAGGCCTACCACCACCAACCACCATCAACTGCAGAACATGATACATAACAATTGTGGAGGATCTAGGACTGCAAGTACAGCCTGGAATTAAAAACAGTGTCAACATTCGTTCTGTTAACAGCACGGTTTGATTCTCAAAGCTTATGTTTTCCTCTGGATACAAGATGTAAAATAATATGAATAGGAAGGTGCCCATGAATTTGTGTTCTACTGGTGAGTTTCTCAGAGGCATTTCTGAACAAAACTAGACCAGATAAGCCTGTTATTTGATCCATCACAATTCTGCTTTCTTTGAATCTGCCAAAAAGTGTGTTATGAAGTACGAGATGTTCTTCAGTTTAATCTTAATTTTAAAGCCACATTGAAACAAATACTTGATGTTTACACCTAATAGTAACTTTTCAGCTCACCTATTTTATTGCATAGAACAATTATGGCCTCCTGCTATAATGTGCATACCTTTATTTGTTGTATCTGAAGCAAATTTAGAATAGTTATAATATATAAAAAAACCTACAAAGTTAAAAACTTGGCATTATGCTAAATTTCCTTTGACCAGAAGCTGGCCACTTATGTTGCTGGTGTCTCAGATGTTGCTGTAAGAAGGTCTTCCATTGTGCATCTGGCAGAGCTCAGACTGCATTGTAGTAAGTGGTCTTTGGTTTACTCTTCTCTACACTCGCATGTCATGGACTCCACCTTATAGCCTCATTTCTTTACATTGGCTCTGCATCTCGTGGTACCAGAGCAATGATAGTGTGATTATCAGCATAGATGTCACTCTCTGTCCCTTCTGGCAGTGGCAGATCATTTATTTAAATGTTAAACATTGATGGAGCAAGCACGCTTCCCTGAGGCAGACTCTGTTTCTGTTTTTGCAATTTGCTTCTCTGACCCTGGAACTTAACAAAAAAGCTCCTGTCCATATCTGATGTGCATTTTATATGAGGAAAATAGCTTGAGATTGTTGTTCAACAGGGATATTCAACCATTTCTGTCCCCCAAACCTTGTGTATCTCTTATCAAATTGATATACTCTCTGCTCTTGTCTTTATCAACAATTGAAGTTACATTCATTCTTCTCTACCACCACCACCTCCTGGGATGGAATGGCAAGGATGTCCTGCTGAGTCTTCATAGCTACAAGTCTACAAAGTGTTTGGAAAACACATGTTCTGCATAAAGTTAATCATACAAGGAACAAAGCATTATTAGTAACCTTTCCTTCTTCTGCTTAGGGAAATTGTGCCAAAATTACGATGCAGGAAGGAGCCAATGTGTCCTGCATTACGAAGCCCAGGCAATGGTTCCAATCTTGGAATGGAAGAGAGTGAGAAAAAGTGCCTTTTGTATGGTGCTGTTGGATTTTTCGCTATGGATTCATCTATAACGGGTTCTCAAAACTTTTCAAACAGGCCCAGTTCACAGTCCCTCAGACTGTTGACGGGCGTACTATAGTTTGAAGGGAAAAAACCAAAATCCTATGCACACTGCACATATAATCATCATCAATTATTTTATTTGTATACCTGATCACCATCTCCCTGAAGGGATTCAGGGCAGCTTACATGCAGGACCAAGCACAGAGCAAACAATAGAGTTTATCAACTAAAACACAGTTAAAAACAAACATATCACAATCTAATCAAACAATTCAAAACAGCAGGGTATAAAAACATCATTAAAATATATCAGAAACAAACCCCAACAATGAATTAATCAATAGCAGGAATATGATGGGCATGATCAGAATTAGAGAGGCTGGGCATGGACTTGTCCAAAAAGCAGACTATAGGGCCAGGGCTGGGGAAAAGTGTTGAGTACAATCTATATCTTATTTGTTGTGCAAAAAAACAAAACAAAACAAAAACCCTGAAAGAACAATACTGTATTTAAAACGAAGAAAAATTTTATCTAATATAAACTTACCAGTGATTCAATGGGAAGTGTAGGCCTGCTTTTTGGCTGATGAGATACTCAAGTTAATGAGGATTGTTGTGTGCCTTCAAGATGTTCCAGACTTAGGGCGACCTTGGAGTGCCACATTTGGCCCACAGCCCCTAGTTTGGGAACCCTTGATCTAGAATCTAGAATCAATGTAGTTTGACATCACTGTAACTGCCATGACTCAATGTTATGGAATAATGAAGATTGCAATTTTACAAGGTCTTTAGCCTTCTCTGCCAAAGACTATTGGTGCTCCCACTAAACTGTAACTCCAAGGATCATTGGCCATGGTCACTGGAGAATCCTGGAAGCTATAGTTCAAAAAAAAAAAATCATTTCTGGGCTTTGTGCTGCTCATGGAGCCTGTTCTGGCTCATACCAGCTCAACCTTGCCTTTTCCATCCAGGAGAGTTTCTTACTGGACATGCCAAGTTAATGTCTAACTGAAAGAGGAGTTATGGCCCAAGAGGAGTTATGGCTGGAAGGGCCAAAGGTGGAAGTTTAGAGACACATGGCCAGTGAAGGTTATAAAGAAAGGAAGAGGAGGAGCTGGAAAGAAAATCTGTTGTTAGGCTGCGTTTTGCACAGGAGAAGAGCACAAAGGGAAGGAAGCAACTGAAAACATGAACAAAACTAGCAGGTCTTCTCAAAGCATCCTCCCCCAAGGTTATGCAGATCCCAAGATGCCTTCATGGCCTTTGAGTTGCTTGTTGGCTTTGCAGGTGAGTTGAGTTTATGGACAATACATAACACAGCACTTAAAAAGAATCGCATCCTTACAGGAAGGCAGCAATGAACAGGTAAAAGAAGAGTTTTTGGTGGTGAGATATGGATAATGTATACGTGCGAGAGGCTACAGAATGTTGGCTGCTTAGTATCAGTCCTGAAATACAAGTAGTATTAGTACTACTTGCCATTGAGTATTACAGAACAAAAGGGGTGTTCCATTGCATGGAACAAGTAGGAGTTGTTCTGTGGGTCTGCAATCCTGGTTGAGAAGGAGAGCCAGCAAAGGCAGAACCCCAATCTCAGGCTGAGGGGTCAACCCAAATCATACTGCTGAGCTGTCAGAGTATATAGTACCTAAAGCCATGCACATTATTTTATTACTGAAGCAGAAAAATCCATGGGCATCTCCTTCCTATCTTGCAGTTTTAAAAAATAACTATTAGCCACACCCCCCCCCCCCCCCCCCCCCCCCCCCCCCGCTGCATGAGGCATATGCTTCACTCTGCCTAACTATAGGTCTTACCCTGTTTAGATAATGGTGTTGGAAGTAGACTGAGAGGTATCACCAAGCCTAAGTGTGTCACTTCTATATAAGGATCCAGGTACTGTACATAGTTAACCCCAGCCTGTGTTTTGCATCCCTAGCATCTCTTGGTCCAGGTGTCTTTCCTCTGTATCATATACTTTCTCTTTATCACCAACTTACCACGTGAGAAAATGAATGGCATTCCAAGTTGGGATGAATTGCTTGCACGCAACCTCTTTGCCTGTGGCATTGCTACAGCCTTGCAATGTGGATTAGGTTCCAGGTAAGTGTCTTCTGCACACCTTCTCTTAGAATCTTAAAGCTTTGCCTAGTTTATTTATTTTTATTTTATTTAAAACTTTTATATTCCGATCTTCTCACCTCTGTAGAGGGACTCAGACCGGCTTACAGCAAAGATTTAATGCTACTAATACAAATTAAAACATCATACAACAATACAAGATTAAAATACATATAGGTAAAATACATATAAGCCAAATTGCCAAAATAAAATCATGTTCAACTCAGTCTGCATATGTGGTCACTCACTTTGGTCTGTAGCCAGTGTCAGCCATTATTCTGGGAATGCTTTGTTCCGTAGCCAGGATTTCACTAGCCTCCTGAAGGACAAGAGGAAGGGGGCAGATCTGATCTCGCTCGGGAGAGAGTTCCATAGTCAAGGGGCCACCACAGAGAAAGCCATGTCTTGTTCCCACCAGACACGCTTGCGAAGGTGGTGGGACCGAGAGCAGGGCCTCTCCAGAAGATCTTAGCATCCTTGATGGTTCATAGGGGAGAATACGTTCAGACAGGTAAACTGTTATTCTTTATGTTGGTCAAATATTTGTTGAAGCATAACTAGAGCAGGGATTGACTGCTTACTTTTAAAGGTGTTTAGTTCTCTCTGGTCCTGGACTAACAGTTTTCTCCCTTAGGGGTTCTTGATGTATGTTCCTCTCTTTGTCATCTCTGCAGATTGCCACTCATTCAGGCTCCATCCTTTGAGTTCCTTATCCCTGCCATGGCATTGATTCAACATGTGGTTCCCAGCCTCCAATCAAAAGGAAACAGTGAGTTATGGATTATAGCACCCAGCCATCCTCCACATTTTTTGAGCAGAGGACACTACAAGAGTGAAGGATAGCAGGGTTCCCAACAACACCTTTCCTTCTGTGGTGCATCCAACAGAGGTTTATATCACACCATGGAAACTATCCATCAGTGGTTGCTATTTGGCTGCATATGAATAGACTTGAGGAGCATAACTGGCCAACCACATGCTTTTCAAAGAGCTTATAAGCAAGTCAGAAATACTGCTGGGGGGCAGTATGATTTTGAAAGTTTGATTTTACTATTATGGTGTGTAGCCAATGATTAATCCATACTACTATGGTTTTAAATGACACCCATGTTACTGAAGCCACTATAAGTCCATTTTGCCATGTATCATTCACATTGTATGTGGGGCAGGGATTTACCCTATGTCTGCTGTGGTTTCATTGGAATACTACATATTATATTATTACACTGAACAGAAAAAAATCACTATCCATTATTGCCACAGCTTTCACTATGCTTTGCCATATCTAAATCTCTATTTTATATTTTGATTGGAAAAAGTGTACTCCTCTCAAGGGGTTTGCCGTCAGCACCCTCCCTCCTGGCCTTCAGAAGAAAAGTACAAGCCTTTGGGCAATAAGCAGTATAAGGAATTATCAGGAATTATGTGCACTAGACATGATATTTGAAACGGCCTAGACTATGATTGCTGTGTTGTGTGATTTTAATGTTTATATTGATATATTTTTAATTCCATGTTTTAATGTTAAGTTATTACCGTTATGTTAGGTTTCTGTATGTAAGGCATTACATTTTGCCATAATTATGTTGGAAACCTCTTTGAGTCCCCTGCTGGGGTGAGAAAAGCAGTATACATGTGAAGTAAATAAATGATAAATAAATAATAAATTGGCCTAAGCTTTTGGTCAGCCTTTCAAAACCCATCTTGTGCATCAGCATTCTATTCTAAGTCTGGCAAGTCATTTTTTTTCATGGCATTAGTATTCTATTTAGCATTTCCATGAATCCCAAGATACTCCTCATTGCCTTCTTTATTTCATTGTTTATCAAACTGACATACATCTCTGCTTCCCTCCCTTCTAGGCACTGAGGCTACTGAGATCTGCATTGGACCGCATTGTGAAAACACAGGAAACTGGCATTGGGTATTCTGTGAGGTTGGTAACTTTGGACTATTAACTCAGCCTAAGAGGCTGGTTTGGAAATTGTGGGTAGGCAGATATCAAGAGGCATTTGAACATGAGATCATAGAATCATAGAATCACTGAGTTGGAGGAGACCTCGTAGGCCATCAAGTCCAACCCACTGGCAAGAAGCAGGAAAATCACCTTCAAAACACCTTCAAAGTATCAAGGAAACCCACCTTCAAAATATCAAGATACTGGCTTGATATTAGTACTGAAGGCATTGTTGATGTCATGTGAGAATATTCCTGCTTCTTGGCAGAGGGTTGGACCATGAGGTGTCTTCCAACTCTTTGATTCTATGATTCTATGTGTCCTGTTGCTCTCATTTAAGAAGATGAAGGCATCTACTGTCTACTGTACACTCTTATCTCTTCCTTCTAACCCAGAGCTTTCCAAACTGTGTGCCGTGACACATTAGTGTGTCAGTTGCAGTGTGTAGGTGAGTCGCATGAACATAATAAGAAACCTCAGAGTCTTTGAGAAAGAAGCAATAAATCATATATATTTAAAAATATAAATGAAAGCTTTTCATGAGAAATGCTGTGTCCCCCATACATTTTGTGATTACAATGTATGTATGTGTTGATGTCTCTTACAAAGGGTTGGTTTAACCTACTAAAACTTAATTACTATGTTGCAAAATGATGCATATCTAAAAAGTATATTACCAACATGAAATGTTTGGAAAGTTTTGTTTTAACCCTCTCCCTCACTTGCAAATGCTCTTATCCTCTCTTTCTGTCCTTCTCATTTCTGTCCCAGTTAAAATTTACGCTACAAATAATTGTATTTTTTTTAATTGGGGGAAAAGTAATGTTGCCGCCCCCAAGTGGGTTCATATGCCTTGTTTCCACTGCATTTGCTCATCCCTGTATAACACTAAGGAAATGGGGGTGAGCTTGAGATGTTTAATTGTATCTGACCATCTCAAATATAAAGCAAACTGGTCTGACAGCTGACAAATGTACAGTCCTTCATTTTCCAAAGAGCAATTTAGAAGGTTCAAGACAGACCATGTAGCTCTGTCCTCCCACAGAAGGAAATAGTGAGAACTTGGGAAGAGCTGTTGGCTGGGGGTAACTGTGGACTCCCAGTATCTGATGCCTGCACCATTTGCCTCAGTGTTAGTGGATCAGGCTCTGCAAAGAAATCAGTAAATTTCCAGACTCCTCTCTTTCCTATGTTATGAATCACTGCCAATCTACCCATAGCTTTCCCACCAGCTTTGTCCCCATAGGCCTCTCAATCCATCTTCCCCCTGAAGCAAAGAAGGTGGGACCAACACTCATAAGACGGATAACAAGGCATATCATTTGAATCCCGTTCTCTCTTTTTCCCCCTTCAGATCTCTGGTGCTGTGCTGGTCTCGGCCCTGGTTCAGGTGGTGCTGGGGCTGTCAGGTGCTTGTGGGTGGATTGTTCATCGTTGTGGACCTATGGTTCTGGCGCCGAGCCTTTCTATCATTGGACTTTCAGCATACAGACCTGCTGCTCTTCTCTGCTCAGAGAACTGGGGAGTTGCCTTGCTGTATGTTCCTCAATAGTGGTCTTGAAAAAACAAGCAAAAACTTAGCATCAGCATACACTGTTTCGGTATCATTCAGCTAGATGCAGTCTTAAGAGGGGAGGCAGCTCTGTTTGGTTAGTAAATTATAGCCATTACATTTCATGAACTCTGGAAGGCTCTGAAGCAGGTTAGGTATATTAGTGGTGAAATTTAAATTCAAGTATCTGAGTATTCTGACACAAAATATGAATTACTCACTTTTTAAATGCCTAGATTTCTGTTAAAATCAATGTAAGGATCCCACAAAAAATAACATCGAGTGTTTAGAACTTCAGGCTTCCTCCTCTTATTTGTGGATCAACATCTGGAGGGCTGCACAAATCTTATCCCCAAGTTATGTCAAGAGACAAATTAGAGTTGTTATTCCACAGATACAGCTTGTGGCATGTGTGTATTTGTGCTCTGCACAAATGGCAGCATGTTGCTGAACATCAATTACTCTCCATTCTTTTTAGGCTTGTGTTGCTGAGTGTCTTACTATCCCAGCACCTGGCTTCCTGCCATTTGCCCCTCTGCCAATGGACCCCAGCAAGAGGGTTCTCTGTAAGATTGAGAGTCCCAGCCCTGCATATGTTTTCGGTATGAATATATGAACTACCACTTTGTCAGTCTCTGCTCTGTTCTCTTCACATCTTTTTTTAAGCAGACAAAACTCAAGCAACTGGTTCTTTGGGCTTCCCCAAATGTCCTTGGTCCTTCCCAATGATATCAAGTTTTATAGGGGGGGGGAGGTTGCATTATAAAAGGCTGACATACATTACTGAAAGATTAATTACCAACAGCAAGCACTTTAAACTAACACTGCCATTGTGCCTTTAGAAAATGGTTTCCAAGAATTTAAGATGAAAGAAGATTGTGACCCTTCAGTAAAAGGTCAGGGAAAGTGGGACCATGCAAATATTATAGGACTATAACTCTCCACCACCACCACCACCTTTATTAGCATAGCCAACAGAGAGGCATGGTAGCAACTGCAGTCCAGAAATATCCGGGTGACTGCATTTTGCTCACCTTTTCTCTAAAGACTGAGTTGGGAGGGATATTGTAGTGTTATCCTAATTTAGAGGTGAATTACTTTTGCACTTGACCCATAGGGTTAGAAGGGTGTTGCTCCTATTATATGGGGCTCCAAGACATACCTGTATACCACCAACTGGTTCAGTGGCTGTTCATTTCCTTACCCAAGGGAATCTTAGCAATGATGCTTCTGTGAAGTTAAGAGCATGATTAGTCTAGCTAAAAATTTATATATATGTAATAGTAGCTAAATTCACATATTAGCTTCTCTCTCAGAAGTCTATATGTTGTAGTTTTATTGTACTATGCCTTTTTAGATGTGCCAACCCCATTGTGCCTCTTCACTCTCCAAAGTAAAATTGGGACAACCTTGGGTGTGGATTAACAATCCCAGATTCCTTGTGTACAGCAATCCATTTATGCTGTAACAACCTGACCACCTACTTAGATAGGACACATTCTTCTTATTTTCACTATCTCTGAGTCCACCATTGTCGTAGACAATGTGTGCCAGCATTTTACTAGACAATGTGTTTTTGTGGGGTGAGTTGGTCCTGCAGATCATACCTCACTATTGATGGTGGATAGTATGTTGATGTGCATTAGAATCCAACAATTTTAGGTGGTCCCCATTGCTGCATTATAAGGATGGATCCAGGGACAAACAGTGGGGCTCTTCTCATGTTCACTTTGCTTTCCCATAGATACTGCTGCCATTCTTGGGGATCTGGCTTGTCTATGGGATTCTGAGATCTGTTCCAACATCATGGGAGATGCTACATCTTTCCGCACACCACCTGACCTTCACCAACAGCACCTTGCAGTCCCCATGGATCAAGATTCCTTATCCAGGCATGTATATTTTATTCAGTCAAAAAACACAACAATCACCAGAAACATAAAATGTCACAATGTTAAAACTGCGATATAAAATTACAAATACAGGTTGAACATGCCTGCTCCGGATTTCCAAAATACTGAATGAATGAGATAGTCATAGCTTTACTTTCTTATAGTTCAATGTATGCAAACCTTGTTTCATGCACAAAGTTATTACAAATATTTTGTAAAATTACTTTCAGGTATATAAAGTATACATGACACATAAAAATGTTGTATTAGAATTTGGGTACCATCTACAAGATATCTCATCGTATACATGTGTATAGGTACATCGAGATATTCAAAATCTGAAAAAAACCAAAACACTTCCATTCCCAATCATTTCAGATAAGGGTTACTCAACCTATAGTGTGTGCAAGTGTGTTGAGTATATATGTAGCTACATAGAAATATCATGCATCCTCAACAAGTTCAGTCCTCCTATTTTACTGTTCATCTTTTTCTTTTTTAGGAGAGCAGGGCTGGCCAACACTTAGCACCCGTGCAGCGGGCACTGGTGTTGCCATGGGTATCATTGCAAGTGTGAACTCTGTTGGTTGCTATTTGCTATGCAGTAAAGCCCTAAGGCTTCCAGTCCCACCACAACATGCATGTAACAGAGGACTCTGTGCAGAGGGGGTTGGCAGTCTTCTGTCTGCTGTACTTGGGAGTGTTTCTGGAACTGGATCCAGCATGTCCAATACTTGTGCTGCCCGTCTGACCAAGGTAAGGAATTGGGTTGGGCCCTGGGCATTTTCTTTTGTGGAGGCACAAGTAGATGCTGAGAGAGATTTCTCAGGGGAACCAGTAGGTAGTGCTTCACAAAGGAAAATTAGGCTATCATCTCCAGCTTTAGGCATTACCTTCACCTTTGCTGTCCATCATTAATGCACGAAGCTGCCTTTTAGAAAGCCGTCAGGTGATTTGTCTATTTTAATAACAAAGCTCAAGAAAGTTACATTTTGCAGTATAACTTCCAGAATCTCTCTAGCAGCTTTAGGGAGCAAAAACAAATAATCTATTCTCTGCCTGCTACTTACTACTCTGACTGGAAGCAGCTTCATTGGGATGTTATAAAAGTGAACATGTTGGAAATGCAAAATTCAAGAAGAAGCTTTTTATCATATGTGGTGGATGTGTGTAGCATTATTGGAAGCAGATTCAGTTGCTGATTCAAGATATTTTCAAAAATAGAATGCAGTTAAAACCAGATCAAGGAATTGATCTATAAAGTGCTACATTATAGGATTTTGGCAGCAATGCTCAGATATGGAAAAAATATGGAGGAATCCACAAAAGAAGTTTGGATTTGAAAGATATTTTAAATGGCAGAAATGGATAAACTGTCAACTTTGTTTAGAGACAATAATAAAACCAGAGAATTGGAAGAAACCAGAAGGACCACTCAGTCCAACCGCCACCCACACAGAGAATTATTTGGACAACTTTGTAAACAACTGGTAACTTTAAAAAAAATAAAGAAGAAAGACAACACCTGTGGGGTTTTTACTATTAGTTTTTTGTATGATTTTAGGTAGAAGTTTAAATACCTCTTAAATAGATATAAGAAAGTGAATGTTATTTGTCTGTTTTGGTTTGGAGAGCAGAAAGTCAACTTTTAATTTTTTTTATTTGTGGGTTTTGATGGAGGGATAGAGTAATATTTAACTTGCTTTCTGCTTTTTCTGTTTTGTTTTGTGCATGCTATATTAAAGATGTGATTTTTAATAGTAAAGATGTGCAAGTTCATTTTTCATCCTTATTTTTTTTAGCAATTTGATAAAAACTGAAGTTTTCATGTTTGTTACACATGGAGAGAAAGTTACAGGTGCTGCTGCTGAGGACATACTATATATACTTGGGTATAAGCTTTTTTTTAGGCTGAAAAAGCCCCCCTCGGCTTATACATGAGTCAAGGTTATTTATTATTGTACTATACTCTGTTGTTGTTGTTGTTGTTGCTGCTGCTGCTGCTATTATTATTACATTTATTATTTTACTCTATTTATTATTATTACATTTACATTATTTTACTCTATTCCTGTTGTTATTATTACATTTATTATGTTACTCTCTTTATTATAATTGGAAGGATATATAAGCACATTTATATTGAAGAAAATTAGAATAATGGTTTAATCAGATTTGGACACTCTTATTTTAAATTACAGTTTTATGTAAATATTCAGAAACATTTAACCTACTGATGCCTCAATGTGATTTTATTGATATCTATTTTTATTTTTAAATGTACCAGTAGCTGCTGCATTTCCCACCCTTGGCTTGTACTCGAGTCAATATGTTGACCCAGTTTTTGTGGTAAAATTAGGTGCCTTGACTTACATTAGGGTCGGCTTATACCTGAGTATATGCGGTAACTAGCCAAGGCTTGTATTGAGCAATTGTTCATGAAATTTTATGGTGAAACACAGACGACAATGCCCCAAATTTGACTCACTAGAAGGAATAATATTACAGAAAAGCTTTCTGGACCTTACTTGCTTATAAGTTGCAATAGTAACATGAATTGTCTTTTCAAGGGAAGGTGAAAGTGAAGCAGATTGTTACCATTGACAGACCAATATCATCTTCATTATGTCCAAAATGAAAGATTTCCCAAAGGAAATAAATTATACTGAGATTTTTTTTCCTCTCCAGACTAATGTCCATCCTGTATCTGTATGTTTTGTTTATTTTTCATTTTTCTCACTCTCTATTAGCAACCTCTTTTTCACACTGTGCGCAAAGCAGGGAACCTTGAGCAGTGAACATACATGTGGGAACTAAAGATTATCTTGGACAGGTAGTGCTGTGTTTTGCCAGGGCAACATCTCACACCCCATTTCCCTTATTCAGACTACTTCATCTTGCTCAGTGTGGCTTGCTGCATTGGCGTGTGTGCTCTTGGGCCTGTCTCCCAGGCTCATGGGACTGCTGACCACTATTCCTCTGGGAATTCATGGTAATAAATACTTCTTTCTCTTCCTTTCTTATTCACATCTCTGCTGGTACATCTACAAATTGTTTTATAATATATGTGGGAGAGATGTTTGTGTATAATTCAAAGAACAAGCTATGAGCAGTTATGAAATATCTTCCTGCCTGGCCTAATCACTCAATTGCCCTCTGAACACAGTCAGATCATCATATCCACAAATTCCACCTTTTGTGGATTCAACCATCATGGCTTGAAAAAAAATTCTAAAAATTTCCAAAGTAAATTTTGATTTTGCCATTTTATATAAAGGGCACCATTTCATTTTGCTGTTGTATAGAGTGGAATCTGATTATCTATGAAGTTTGATATCCATGGTGAGTCCTGAAACCAAACTCTGATGGATACCAAGGCCCACTGTATGAGTGAATTTCCTGAATATCTTGGGGTGCAACCAGACTGTAGAATTAATGCAGCTTGACACCACTTTAACTGCTGAGGCTCTTTTTTACTTTGTTTTTCCTTCCTAACCTCAGGAGGAGTGCTCTGCGTGACATACAGTGTGGCTGTGGGCACCGGCATCTCCTATTTCCAATACACAGACATTGACTCTGGCAGGAACATCTTCATTGTGGGCTTCACCATGTTCATGGGACTGCTGGTTCCAAGGTGGCTCTTTGCTGCACCAGGGTCACTGCGCACAGGTGCTGAGAATGGGAACTCTGCGTGCACAGGGTTGAGGATGTAGGACAAACAGCTCTAGTTATTAGGATGTGCAGACACAGCACTTGCCTCTACATCAAATGACATCTATGAATGTCAAGAATAGTCTCTTTTCATTCATGCATAGTTTTGGAAATCCCTCTGTAAGGCAACTGCTGGGCAACGTTGAATAATCCTTTATATTTTGCAAGCCTTTTACCTTAAGTTTTGTATCTTTCATCATATAAGTGGCAGCTGTTTGAATAGCCACAGTGTGATTTATTTCTTGGATTCTTCTTCTGATCGGTTAGTGTAAGTGCTTTGTTTTCATTATTAACCCTGATTCCTATCTGTGATATTGTTTCTTCTGTTTCTATTATTTGACATTTTAATGTGACACCTCTTCTTAAACAGTAAAATGTTCTGGTCATTCGCAATGGGAAGATGTACTTTTTAAAGATAAATACATGCAAGAAGCCATATATTCAGTATTTCTAATGGATTAGTCCCTATCATACAGATTAGTGTGTGATAAACCAAGTACACACAGGCTTTATGAATAGTACTAGTATTTTGCAGAAATATATTTTCTCTGAAGTTCTGTTGAATTTCTGGGTTGCTGTGAGTTTTCCGGGCTGTATGACCATGTCCCAGAAGCATTCTATCCTGACATTTTGCCCAAATCTATGGCAGGCATCCTCAGAGATTGTGAGGTTTGTTGGAGACTAGGCAAGTGGGGTTTATATACCTGTGGAATGTCCAGGGTGGGAGAAAAAACTCTTGTTGCAATTGGCCAGCTTGATTAGCATTTAATGGACTTGCAGCTTCAAAGCCTGCCTGCTTCCTGCCTGGAGGAATCCTTTGTTAGCTGGCCCTGATTATTGTCTGGAATTCCCCTGGTTTTTTTTTGGTTTTTTTTTTAGTGTTGCTGCTTATTTGCTGTCCTGATTTACTAAAGGGCATGTAATATATGATGGATCATATAATGACATTTTAAAGACAACCGGTATGTTTTCTTCACAGGTTGCATCCCTGTGGATCTCTTTCTCCTTTCTCTGCTGATGGACCCTACCTTTATAACTGGGTTCCTTTCCTTCTTCTTAGAGAACACAGTCTCAGGTAAAGATGTAGCAAGAGGCTGCCCCCACAACTCCCCTTGAGTATCTGCAGTGAACCTTTGGTGGTGGTGGTCTTATTACTGTCATTAATATTATTAATTACATTTCAACATCAAGCCAGAATAATCAATATATGATAGACCTCAACGTGTAACATTTATTATTGCTGTCACATTAATATTGGATATCATAGAGTGATTGAGACACATTTGGGACAGTCACTATGATAGAAATTGTTTCAGTTTGAATTGATTAGCAGTGACAATAATTAGGATTGTAATACTCTTTTGGAAAAAGAGTATCTGGAGAACGTACCCACTAGTTTTGCATTTATATGGCTATTATTCACACGTACAGTCTGCTTACAAAGGAATTGCTGGGTGCTTTACTCCATGCATCTGAGAAAGTTGACTTAATCCATGAATGCTTATGCTATCAGCTTCATACCTTCAGTCTCAAAGGTGCTACAAGATGCCTTTATATAAAGTATGTGAATGCAATACATTTTAAAATAACGGTTCAAAATCCTGTGTTCCACAGAGTATGGCTATTCTAAGCTGTTCTGTCATTATTTTGAAGGCACCCTGCAGGAACGTGGACTGCTCAACCACTTATCCTCATGCAAAGAGGAGGCTGGAGAGAATTTCCTGCCACAGAGACAGAAGGGCTTTGCACAAGGATACGAGCTGCCTCTAGTTCTGCAACGATGTCTATCGCATCCATGGTGCAAAGGCTTTCCTTTGTGTTTTCTCTGTCCCCTGGAGAAGGAAAAGGGGGAGGTTGTGAACAGTTACCCACTGGATGAAATGCACCGTTCTGAAGGTGAAACCACAGATTTTCTACTGAGACAGGAAACAGTGAAGCTTGAGTCAGAACTGCACTCGGAATTAGAGCAAGAGAGTGGCATGATGCAAGACAGTTTGGAAAACCATAGATGTGGCAAACCAGCAGCTCATGAAATGCGCCCCCTGTGCTGATCTTGAAGAGTGTCCTTGCTTTGAAAGAAACAATATGCAAGGACTAGTACTCAGAAATCTGTTAAGTTTGGCTTTATAGACAATAATGGAGAAAAAACTGAAGTCCAGTCCATGGGGAAAGAAACACTCCATTAGATCAGAGTCATGGCATACCCATGTGTCTAAAAAGGTCTGTCAGCATTACCTCTTTGGGTTTATTTTTTTTTCCTTTTGCCTCTTCTGCTTGTGGGAATGGACCTGTGCCAGAGCATGTGGTCTCAGTTCTGAAGGCAAATGACTCATCTGTACTAGGACACACTAGGGCAGAGCTTTCCAAACATTTCATGTTGGTGACACACCAGTTTTATGTATGGATCATTTCAAGACACATTAATTCAAACCGGAAATTAAATAAGCCCCAAACACAAATATTATTATAATAAAATGTATAGGGACACAACATATCTCATGAAAATCTTTCATTTAGTTTTTAAAACAATATGATTTATTGCCTCTTTTACATAGACTCAAAGGTTTCTTATTATGTTCATGCATCACACACACTGCAGCCGACACACTAATGTGTCGCAACACAGTTTGGAAAGGTTTGCACTAGTTTTCAGGATGGAATGAATTTTCATTTTCTGTACTTAAGCCCTATCATGTCACAAACTTAAATACAAGGGAAGAATCTTCCCACCCTATCTCACAGTCTTGAGTCTATAGGTCACTGTTTCATTGCTTGCTTACCAATAAGAGAACCTCTGTCAGTTCTCTTTAGGATCTAACTTTAGGTGATCACAACCAAAGGTTTAAATGTTACTTTTCCCACAAGGCACAGAAGGTCCACTGAATAGCCTTTCATTGCTTTTTATCTTGTTTTAGCAAAGTTTTGGATGGGCAGCTTCTGGCCTCTATATGTTGTTGGGTTACAGCTCTCATCAGTCCCATCCTACACAGCCAACAATGAATGTGTTGGGAGTTACAACCCAGCACAACACACAGAGGTCCATAAGTTGCCCACACTGCATACAGCTTATTTCATGAACCCTGGCCATACAGGAAGAGACAAGGCATTCTGCACATCCACTTTCTCAATACTGGAGGGATTTTCTTTCTTTTTAAAAATGGTTTTTATTGAAGGTTTTTTGGACTAGGAATACATCAAGAGGAATTGTCATTATGAAATCCCCTTAAACAGGACAAGTAAGTTGAAAACTGAACTTTTGCTTGCAAACCATGCTCTGTGTCACCAAACTCCCTTGACTTGTGAAAAGGCAGAAAAAACGTTTGGCTTTGGTGGAAGAACTTTTGGCTGTAATGGAAAGGGCTTGGGTAACTTGTTTTTCTCTCAGTACCCTGGATAGTCATATGAATAAAGTTAATCAGTAAGCCATTAAATACACACAGGATGGAATAAGCCTGTACTCACAAATACAAATTTGGCTCACAGTAGATTTGCTTACAACAGTGGTTCTCAACCTGTGAGTACCCAGATGCTTTGGCCTTCAACTTACAGCTGGTAAACTGGTTGGGATATCTGGGAGTTGTAGGCCAAAACACCTGGGGACCCACAGGTTGAGAACCACTGACTTACAAGTTTCCAATATGCTGGCTTAGTTCCATCTTCACGGGATGACCATAACTTAAGTCTTATCCTTAGGTCACCCTGCAGGCCTAACTGAATTACGATGCATTACTACAGAGAAAAAGAAAACATGCACATTTTCCTTGTGGAATTTCCAGGGGAAAAATGCTAGAAGAAATTATGTTTTTAAATTGTTTGTTTCATTATTTCATTTTATTGCATGGTAGGATGGTCTACAAAAATAAAAAATAAAGACATGAAAGGAAACAATAAGTAACTATTTCTTATATTGTAAATCAGAAAGACTTGCTAAAAACATTACAGCTTCAAATGGATACAGCCAGGCATGTAGCCGAAGGGGGGGGGGGGGGGGGGGGGGGGCTTGCGGGGCTTCAGCCCCCCCCCCCAAATTCTCATGGTGGTTCGCGAAAAGGCCTTACTGGTGCATTATTTAAACTGTTATGTTTATTCATATCATGATCTGATCACCATACTCAATATATCCCATATGCATGGGGGTATTGGGGTAATGATACAAAAGGTTTGCTAGGCTAGACCTTCTTTCACTCAGACTCAGCCCCCCCCCCCCAAACTCAGCCCCCCCCCCGACCCCCCCGAAACAAAATCCTGGCTACGGGCCTGGATACAGCTTCAAATGGTTAAGATGCCTGAGCTTCATCTTAACATCTGTTCTACATCCTGTATAGTCATGTGGTCTTCATTTACAATATATAAGATGAGGGTCATGCAGAGAATTATGACTCACGCAGGCTTCTCTGCCGTGTACAAATGTAATTTGCCATATGATCTACAGTAACTGGTTGGTTCACAATATTTGGAAAGAGCACATTACAAGTAAGGTAATTACCTCTAGGTAACTATGTTTTGGTGAATAAGGCTGCTAGGAAGTTACATTTTTGAAAGAATGTAACAAGTAAGCTTAAGATATTTTGTAGTGATGATGTCAGAGCACTTTCAGATATTATTATAAAGGATTGATTGCGCTTTGCAACAAATGCCAAGCTAATTGCTGTTTGAGAGTAACTGTCTAAGTTTTGTATGCATCCATGAGGTTTACAAATGCACAAAAGTTTTAGGGATAATAAGCTTGATAATAATAATAATAATAATAATAATAATCACCATCACCATCATCTTTACTTATATCCTGCTCCCTCTCCACAAGGACTCAGGGCGGCTCACAACAGAATCAAAACACAGCACATAAATAAGCTGTGTTATTTACACCCTTCCCGTAGACATCAGGCTAGCCCCCTCCCTGTTGATATTCCGCAGGAAGTTAAAGACCTGGTTGTTTGAGAAGGCATTTGAATAGTAGTGCAATAACGGGTAACTCGACCATAGGAACGGAACAACGGAAATGATATTGGATTGTGAACTTGACGATGAGACGACTCGGAATGGCTTGTAGTTATATTAATGTTTTGATGAGATGTTTTGATAATGATGTACTGTGTATTATTTTTTGTATGTTGAATTTTTGCATCTGTTTTTCCATGTTGTACACCGCAATGAGTCGCCATTAGGCTGAGAATTGCGGTATATAAGCGAAGTAATAAATAAATAATAATAAGCAAAATCAAAAACAGAAAACATAATATATAATCAATAATCATAAACAGAAGAGGCAAAACTAATTTAAACCAATAGGTATTAACAAGGCTAAAAGACCACCACTCTAATGAAGTAGTCAACAATTTTCCAAACCCAGCTTCCACATCCAAGTTTTTAGTTCTTTCCTAAAGTTAGCTAGAGAGGGCTCCTGCCCGATTTCCTTAGGGAGAGCATTTCAAAGTTGGGGGCAACCACCAAGAAGACACTTTCTTTCGTTCCCACCAGTTATGCTTGTGAGGCCTCAGGTAAGCCGCTCCGAGTCCCTTGGGGAGATGGTGGTGGGGTATAAATAAATAAATAAATAAATAAATATTACATCAGGCCTGGGCCAACTTGGGGCCTCCCTCCAGGTGTTTTGGACTTCAACTCCCACAATTCCTCAGAGCCTGAGGCCCTTTCCTTTTCCCCCTCAGCTGCTTAAGCTGAGGGGGCAAAGGAAAGGGCCTGAGGCTGTTAGAAATGATGGGAACTGAAGTCCAAAACACCTGGAGGGAGGCCCCAAGTTGGCCCAGGCCTGTGATGCATGAAGTTCCAAGTTGCCCACAGCTGGTCACTCAAACACATGCCTGGCAGCAGGGCCAAGGAGAGAGGAGAGGCTTCCTGGAGTTACAAGGCCCCCTCTGCCAAAGAGGGCGGGTGCCTCACCCAACTACAACTCCCAGGACTCCACAGCACTGGGCCATGGCACTTCCTCCAGTGGTGCCACACTGCCTTCATTCATATTCCTGAGAGACCACAACAGGGCTGCTTCCGGCGACGCCTCAATCCCCTCCCCCTTCCTCTCGGAGGGTGCTGGTGCCTCGGATCCACGGTAAGGGAAGAAGGGAGGAAGGCGAGGCGTGGGGGGCACACGGCATCTCCCCAGTGATAGGCCTCCTGGGTTCCCTGGAGGAAGATTTCCCGTTGGGCTTATTTCCCCCCCTCGCCTTCGACTACAACTCCCGGCATGCATTGGGGCCAGAGAGGAGTATGCTGGGAACTGTAGTTTTCACACATTCCAGCTCAATTTGCTCAGGCCTGGGCCAACTTCGGGCCTTCAGGTGTTTTGGACTTAAACTCCCACAATTCCTCACAGTCTCAGGCCCTTTCCTTTCCCCCCTCAGCCGCTTACGTGATGCGGCGGCAAAAAAGCCAGTGGGATTTTGACCTACATCAATAGGAGTAGATCCAGGGAAGTCATGCTCCCCCTCTATTCTGCCTTGGTCAGACCACACCTGGAATACTGTGTCCAATTCTGGGCACCACAATTAAAGAAAGATATTGACAAGCTGGAATGTGTCTAGAGGAGGGTGACTAAAATGATCAAGGGTCTGGAGAACAAGGCCTATGAGGAGCGGCTTGAAGAGCTGGGAGTGTTTTGCCTGCAGAAGAGAAGGCTGAGAGGAGACATGATGAGGGCCATGTAAAAATATGTGAGAGGAAGTCATAGGGAGAAGGGAGCAAGCTTGTCTGCTTCCCTGAAGACTAGGATATAGAATAATGACTTCAAACTTCACTTGAACATTGGGAAAAAGTTTCTGACTGTGAGAGTGGTTTAGCAGTGGAACTCTCTACCCTGCAGTGTGCTGGAGGCTTCTTCTTTGGAGGCTTTTAAGCAGAGGCTGGACGGTCATCTGTCAGGGGTGCTTTGAATGTTGATTTTCCTGCTTCTTGGCAGAGGGTTGGACTGGATGGCCAACGAGGTCTGTTCCAACTCTTGTGTGTGTGTGTCAAGAGCTACTTGAAAAACTGCAAATTGCTTCTGGTGTGAGAGAATTGGCCATCTGCAAGGACGTTCCTCAGGGGAAGTCTGGATGTTTGATGTTCTACCATCCTTGTGGGAGGCTTCTCTCATGTCCCCACATGGGGAGCTGGAGCTGACAGAGGGAGCTCATCTGTGCTCTCCCTGGATACGAAACTGTGACCTGTCAGTCCTGCTGGCACAACGGTTTAACCCAGGGGTCCTCAAACTTTTTAAACAGAGGGCCAGGTCACTGCCGGATTATAATTTGAAAAATAATAATAATTTGAATTCCTATGCACACGACACATATCTTATTTGTAGTGCAAAAAAACACTTAAAACAATACAATAATTAAAATGAAGAACAATTTAAACAAATATAAACTTAGTATTTCAATGGGAAGTGTGGGCCTGCTTTTGGCTGATGAGATAGGATTGTTGTTGTTGTTGGGTGATTTCAAGTCATTTCAGACTTAGGTTGACCCTGAGTGAGGGCCAGTTACATGACCTTTGAGGGCCGTATCCAGCCCCCGGGCCTTAGTTTGAGGACCCCTGGTTTAACCCATTGCACCACTGGGGGCTCCCAATAGCTGGTAAAGTGGCAGGGATTTTTGGGAGTTGTAGGTCAAAACACCTGGGGAACCACAGGCTGAGAACCACTGCCTTAGGTTATCCCTCTCCACGTCCAGCTTGTACTTCTGAAGCCATCCCTGAGTGTGTGCACCATATGTGTATTGTGTATCTATTTCTGTGTGTATATAAATATGCAGATACGTGTGTTGCAGACATGGGATGTTCCCCCAAATTTATACACCCTGTTTACATTTATGGATTTTCTTTTACAATTATTTTTCCAATATACACCTTCAAAGCTTCCAAAAGTAGTGAAATGTTGTTAAATTACAAGAGAAACATCAAGTGTAGATTGTAACCCTGTGCTTTGACAATGTGAGCAGTGCATTCGTGTGCGGGAATGACAATTTGAACATCTTACAAAAAGTTGTAATTTAAGATGGTATTTGTAAGCTTATTATTATTATTATTATTATTATTATTATTATTATTATTTATATCCCGCTTTATCTCCCCAAAGGGGACTCAAAGCAACTATTGTAAAGGTAAAGGCTTCCCCTTCATTATGATAATATTTATTATTCAAGAGAAATATATTTACTTAGTCTTCAAATTACCACAGCTACAATTACAATATGAAACACAAGTTTTGTTCCTGGGATATATATGTCATTTCTTAATTGGTTCTATCATAAAACATGGGAAAAGTTCATTAAATTGCAAAAGCCTAGTTTTTGCGGGACATCCTACAGCACATTTCGCTCTATTTTTTCTATGAATATCTCATAGATTCTCAACCAATTCAACATAGTTTTTGAGTGCCACAAAAAGGAAGTTTCTGGAATAGAACAACTACTTACAAAGGAAGTATTGCACAATTAAACAGGAAATAACACTTTTGAACCTGGAACAGATTTTTTTTCAAATTTTGTTACACAGTGTTATTATCTGTTAGTATACATTTTGAGCGAGTATTTATGTGTGTATGTTTGTGTATGCCCCTTCAAGTCTTAACACAGATCCCATGAATTACATAAAGTTTTTTCAGGCAAGGAATATTTAGAGGTGGTTTGCCATTCTTCTGAAATAAGATCTATAACACCTGGTGTTCCTTCATCTCTTACTTGCAGCCAATATGTAGATGCACCTCTCTCTGAAAATGTTCACGTCACGTTAGCATTATTTTAATTTTAATCTATTACATTTGGCCCGGCCATTGGTTTTTCAATGCTTGTATGCCACTGTGGATTGTTTATTGCTTATTTTTGTTTATGTGATTTATATTGATTGTTTTATTTGATGTTTTGTTTATTGATGTATTGTGGGCTTGGCCTCATGTAAGCCGCACCGAATCCCTTGGGGAGATGGTAGCAGGGTACAAATAAAGATTATTATTATTATTATTATTATTATTATTATTATTATTATTATTATATGCTATTGCTTTTCTTTTATAGTCCCCCCACCCCCTTTTATAGCTTGTCTTTTGCATTTTTTGTTCCCACTCACATCATAACCACAGGAGTCTGGATTGCACAAATGCAGTGTTTGAGTAAACTGATTTATCCAAAGCATGATTTTTAAGTGAAATAATTTAGAATGAAAGTTCTGGGTCTCCAGACTCATGTATTTGAAATAAAACCCTAATGACATCAAATCCTGATTTATTTTCAAAAGCTGTACTATCCTGAATTTGAGTGGTAAAAGGTTGATTTTCGGGCTGCAAAGGTCGACAGCAAGTTAGATAAATGGCCGGAAGCTCACTCCGACCTGGGCTGGTTTCGGACTCATGACCTCTCGGTCAGTAGTGATTTTAATGCAGCTGACTCCCAATCAACTGCGCCACAACCCGGTCCAGTTCAGATTGGTCCCAAGCCCCAAAACCTGAGATTGAGGAATGGACTCTTTGAGATGCCATTAAACATGATACATCAGGCCTAGGCCAACTTGGGCCGTCTCTCCAGGTGTTTTGGACTCCAACTCCCACCATTCCTAACAGCCTCAGTTTCTGTGACTGATTTTTACTGAACCTTAGCAATGAGTTTCAGTTGTTTATTGTGCAGAAATAAGAAACAGTATCCTTAAATGAAGCATCTGGAAGTAAACGTCATGATTGTTACAGGATGGAGAGCTTTAAGGACATGGAAAACAAACTCCTTCAGCAGCCTTGGGCTTCGGTGTGCTTTGCTGAATCCACTACACTGATGGTCAAGGCATGGTTTGGAGATGCTGGCTATGCCTTACTCCTCTCCGATCTCAGCAATATGTGGTGTGAAACTGCAGATACCGAGGTGATACAACAGAGGTCAAAGGTAAGTGAAGAAGTAAAGCTGTGTGATATGCTGGGTAATTTTGCGGAGAGAAGGCATTCCTAATTATAGTCTTACTTTGCAATTGTCCAACAGGCCTGAAACTCTGGCTGCTGTTCTGTTTCTAGGCACAACCTTTAAATCATTAGAAAAAGCCTTTTCACTGTCTTGAAATTGAGCTTTTTTTTTTAAAAAAGCACTGTGGAATAGAATATGATATGTGCGTGTGCGGTACAATTTATTGTGTGACTAACATACACCCAACGTTGCCCAGGTGTCGGGGGGGGGGGGGGTTGGGTTGCCTCCATGCCTTCTTTTTCTTTTCTTCTCTCCTCTCATACCTTTCCCTTTTCCCCTCCCCCTTCTCCTTTCCTTTCTTCCCATCTTCCTTCCTTCCTTCCATCCATCCCTTGTTTCCTCCCATACATATGTTGCCTGCCTTTCCCAGTGACATCACAGAAGACCACTTCACCTAGCAACAGCCAATCTAATGACATCACAGAAAGCCACTTCACCTTGCAACAGCAACATATGTATTTTCACTTTTATATGTATAAACTATTTGTGTCCATATCAAAGGATTCTGCATCCATACATTCAATCTTCCATGGCTTGATTTTTTTTTTAAAAAAACCCAAATCACAAATTTTGTTTTTGCATTTGATATAAGGCATATTTTACTAAACCATTGTATGTAATATAACCAAACCCTACTGAATACCAAAGGAGCCCCCGGTGGCGCAATGGGTTAAATCCTTGTGCCAGCAGGACTGCTGACTGACAGGTCAGCACTTCGAATCTGAGGAGAGCAGGTTGAGCTCCCTCCAGCTCAAAATGTGGGTCCTTTGTTCTGATTTTCTTCTGCCCTTGAAAAAGGCTTTTAGCTGTTTCAAATTCTAGTTGTGTGGCAAAACACAAATAAACAGGAAACCAATTGTTCATAGAGATGCAAAACAATTGTAGAAATTAAAGCTTCCGAACTACCTGCATGTTCACATGTCTCAACTGTGTGGGGGGGGGGGGGAGAGAAAGAGATGGAGGAGAAACTCTCGTCCAGTTATTGGTGGAGTAGGTCTCCCTGTCCCCAGTTCCTGCAATGTTTCTATATTACTTGTGTGTTCTTTAATCAGGAGCTAAACAAGAGGTTGACAGCTCATGCGTCCTCCTTTCTGAGCCACCTGCAAGCTCTGATATGTCCCCTCCTGGATGGGGAAAAGAAGGGTGCAACCTCTTTTTCCTGCCAACGGAGTTCCAGCATGCTGACTCTTCACGTGAAGAGTGAGCTCTCAGGACTGCCTTTCTACTGGGACTTTCACTGTTCAGCTGTGCCTGTTGAAATGGTGAGTAGAACAAAAATGGCCATGGACTGAAAAGTGGTAAGATATCAGTGGACAATTGTGGTGAAAATTACGTAGTTCGTAGAGGTTTTGAGCTCCTAGACACCATGAACAATGATAAGGGACTGTGAGGGCTCTCACCCCAAACAGATCAAAGTCCAGTGATTTCCCACCAGTTTGGATTCTGGATCCTGCGGGTAAAGGATTAATTATTTTTGGCTGACAGAATATAACTACTTGGAACTGGATGTGTTTAAACTTCAGACCAGGAACATATTTAATCAACTGAAGCAGCTGTTAATTAAGGGTGTATGTGCACGGTAGAATTAATGCAGTTTAACACCACTTGAACTCCATGGCTAAATGCTATGGAATCCTGGGACTGGTAATTTGATGAGGCACCAGAGACAGCTAAATATCTTGTCAAACTATAACTCAGGCCCCATCTACAATGCCTTATAAAATCCACATCATCTACTTTGAACTGGATTGTATGAGTCTACACTGCCATATAATCCAGTTCAAAGTAGATAATCTGGATTTTATATGGCAGTGTAGATGGGGCATCACATAATTCTACAGTATTGAGCCATGGCAGCTAAAGTGGTGTCAAACTGCATTAATTATACAGTATACATACACTCTGAAATGAATGAAGAGTATTTTTTTTCTAATCACCTCTCAACAAAAGATTGCCCCAGGCACTGCCAGGCCATCAAATGCTCATCAAGGTGGTCAGTTGAAACATTCACACCTAGCTCCAGCAGACAAGAGTTCTTTGTTCCACCCATGTCATTCCACAGTTATATAAACCCTTTTTCCTAGTTCCAACAGACCTCTGAGGATGCTTGCCATAGATGCAGGCGAAACGTCAGGAGAGAATGCCTCTAGAACATGGCCATATAGCCCAAAAAACCTACAAGAACCCAATATTTCTTTCTCTTTATAGCCAGTGTTTCAGGCTTGTATGTTATTTTTTTGAGAAGTGTTTAAGACCTGCTTGCTCTTTTATACGATCTAGTATATACTTTTGTTGACAAATACTGCCAGAGGCGGACAATGCAAAACAGAACATAATTATTAGCACAATGAAAAATTGTCAACTGACAGTTCAGTACAAAAAATGGACCTGTCCTAAATTGGATTACTTATTTACTTATTTTACTTTACTTTATTTATATCCTATCTTTTTCCCATGGGGACTCAAAGTGGTTCATAGTTGCATGATACAGCCCAATAAATCTAAAAAATAGTGAATACAATAATAATAAAAATAATAATTTAAAAACAGTCTAATAGTTGTATCATGGATATAAGCTAAAATACATTAAGATATAATAAATAAAATTACTTTTAAAACTACCAGTCCCCCCAGCGTCCCACCCACAACCTGATTGCACAGCAATGTCTTTACCTGGTTGTGGAAGGTCAACAGGGCTGGGGCCTTCCTGGTCTCTCTTGGGAGGGAGTTCCAAAGTCTGGGAGCAGTCACCAAAAAGGCTCAGTCCTGTGTTCCCACCAAACACACTTGAGCAGATGGTGAGACACAGAGAAGGCTCTCCAGTTGAATGCATTATTAAAAATAAAAATTGAGTTCCATAAAAAATGTATATTGAAAAGTGGATCCTGGGCCCCCCATATCTAAAACTGTTACCATAAGACTTTATTGAAACTATGAAATTGCAATTGTTGGGGATGTTTCCTTCCTTTCATTTCCCCTCTTCCACTCTTTATATGAGATTTGCTTGTCTGTTTATCTAATTATACCTAGAGTGCAGTGATTTTGTGTTGTTTTAGGAACAACTCTGTTCAAATAGGTGAATAAATACTCTAGTCTCTTAGTTTTGTTTTGGCCATGTATACAGCAGAGGGCACTCTATACCCAGGTAATGGTGTTTGCTGAATTAGAAATAGGTTGAGATCTGTCACGGCAATTCTGTTTATTATTTGAATCTTAGAAAAACTTGAGAAATGTTTCCTGGTCTCCAAAAAGTGAACTATACAGAATCTGTAGAATTTTTTTTTAAATGTTTCTGGGATAAGATAGCATGCCATCACTTTAAAAACATTGGCATTTGCGAGTTAATTATTCTAGAATGTAGACTTTGTGCAGAAGCCAACATTGTATGAGTAGAAGTTTGCTTGTGCAGCAGAACCTTTTCCCTTCATCCCTAAAAATCTGCTCTGGATGGTTCCCTAATCTCTTGTTATTTTGATAGTGTTCAGGCGACAGGGGTGGAATTGCCTCTTTTCTGGATTCTGCTGATGAAACAAATTCCATCAGCAGGAGAGCGTAACTGGATGTTCCCTTTGGCATTATTACAGGCACTATTTTGCATTACCTGTTGTCTATCAAGTATTCAATGATATCCTGGAAAATCAGTATGCAATGAAATCTTGTAGCACCTTAGAGACTAACGAAGACAATGAAATTGGCAGCATAAGCTTTCATATGCTAAGGCTACTTCTTCAGATGTAGCTGAGGAAGTAGGTTAGGATGATCTGACCTGTAACTGCCATGGCTGAATACTATGGAATCATAGGAGTTGCAGTTCAGTGAAGTAACAACAGTGTGCAGTCTGTTGATTTGGTTTCATGATGCTTTATTGATTTTTGTGTCATATAATTTCTGTTGCTTTTAACTATTGTACACTGCTTTGAATCCTACCTATGGGAGAAAAGTGGGATAAAAATGAATTAATAACAACAATAATAAACAGCACTCTTTGCAGAGACATTTAAAGACTTTGTAAAATGATCACTCCCATGATTCCATAGCACTGAGCCATGAGAGTTAAAGTGGTGTCAAACAACATTATTTCTACAGTGTAGATGTATCCTAAATTTACAAAAACTCGATCCTTGTGCATACTGATATTCCAGATTATTGTGGCTATGTTTTTGAAACCTGGTAAACAAGTTTTCATCTATCTGGGTTATGGATCAGATTGGACAAATCTGATAGACGGATTGCTTGAAGTTCCTCATATGGTACACCTATTTTCCTTCTTGTCTGTTAGGCTGTAGTGACCAACTTTCTGATAAATATGTAAAACCAGACCATGTCTACAGTTAGCAAGTTTTGCTTTAAGAGCTATGTATTAGGATAATTTTGGTTTTCTGAAAAAAATGCTTCAGAAAAAAAATCCTGAATTTTTTTGTTTTTCTTTTTGGTATTTTACACCTTCCATCATCCACAGACAGCATGCTTTCCAGATATGATAATAGGTGTAGGCTAAACGCATCTGGAAGGCACTGTGTTAGAGAACTTTGGACCAGAGTTTTGCAGTGTTTGATCAATGGCCAAACAGTAGCATAGATGGTCTGATGGTGGTGTTTTGGGTCCCTCTGCTGGTAGACAGCAGAAAAATAGGAAATTCCCAGACTTGCTGCAGGCATCATCCCAAGTGGGGATATAGCACATGAGAGAGATGCTTTTTTTCTGCCTACTTCATGCCTATGCCAGGTTTCACAGCATTGCTATTTGAAGGTGCTGGAGTGAAGGCAGTATGTGACTTCTATGGCACTTTTGATGCCCATGAGCTTGTTTTAAATCCCAGTGCTAGGCCCGCTGCTGTTTCTGCTAGTTGATCCTTCCTTTCTCTTCTCTGCCTTATGACAGATGTCTCACCACCTTGTGCGGCCCCTGATGGCAATGAGCCTGGTGTTGCAGTGTCAGGTGCGGGATTTGGCATCCTTGCTACGCCAGAAGGATGCTGAGATTGAAGACTACCGGGAGAGCGGGGCTGCTCTCAGCCGAGGTGAGGTGCTTTGGGACACAAGCTTGCTTCTTTCCTTCCTGAAGCCTGGCTCTGAGTGTGCAACTGGCCCCTAGCCAGTCTAATCTGGGCTTTTTACACAGATGCTTCAGACTAGTTAACCAGACGTGTTGGGGTCAATTGCTTCTGGAATGGAAAGTGCTGGACATTGACCAGTAGCTGAAGTACTTGGGGACCAGCCAAAGTGCTCTTTCCTTTCCTTTCCTTTCAGTGTTTGGCTGTAACCAATGATGCTGGGCCAATGCCAACTTCAAATCGAGCTTGCATGGAGGCAGGCTGCTCTTTCTCTTTTGAGGAAGCTCAGTAAGCAATTGGGGGGGGGGGGAGGGGTCCTCACCCCTTCCTTGTGACACACTGTAAAATTTCACCAAGCTCATGGGTCAACCTGGTAGAGGTAAACGCCATTCCTTCTTTTTACAGTCAAAGAACTGAAGGATCCAGGCTAGTTAGATACAGATTGGTGGTGTTGCTTATATCTTTGAATCTTAAATTGTGGGTCATGGTTCTAAATGAAGTCCCCTTAGCTCAATATTGGTGTCATGAAAAATGTGGCAACAGTAAAACATTCCTGAATGCCACCCATTTGCACAAATCTATTAGTGGTGATATGCAATGTTTACAATAGACTCTGCAGAAAATGCTTCCACTCTACTCTACAAAAAGGAAGATCAGCCTGTTTAACTAGCCTTGCAGATTCTGATTTTCAGTAAACATTTGATTTTATATACTTGTGTACCTGGGGTCACATAAACATTTATTTTTTTTTAATAATATTTTATTAGGTTTTTCATATAAAAGATAAGACATAGGAACAACAAGTAACTGGGAAGACAAACATAGCACATGGGATATACAGACATAAATATAACATACATGGGGTGTAAGATACACTTCATAAAGTACAAATTTAGTGATATAGCTTATAGACAATGACCCCAACAGTCCCTCATCCCATCCCCCCCTCCCCCTCCTCCCCTCACCAATGTTAAAACCGACTTCCCCTCCTATTCATTCATTCTTATATCATTTCTTGTTGCTATGTGTCTATTACATTTCTAACATCCTCCATTTTTCAGACATTAGTAATTTCCTATCACTGAACTTCCTTTTCTATATAAATCTTGAATAAGCTCCAGTCAGTCCTCTCCGATCCTCTTCCATTATTCTGCCTCAGCCAATAAGTAAGTTCGTCCATTTCTTGGATGTCAGTCACTTTATCCCGCCATTGCCTTATGGAAGGTATCTTGTCTTGCTTCCACAAGCTGGCGAATGTCATCCTGGCTGCAGTTGCTAAGAAAGTAAATAACTTTTCTGAATTATTATCAGGAAAAACAGAGTTGTCATACATTCCTAATAGATATGCTTCTGGGCACATTGAGTATTTTATCTTAAGGATTTTCCTACATTCATTATGTATTGTCTTCCAGAACTCTTTCGCCTTTGGGCATTGCCACCATAGGTGATAAAAAGACCCTTCATTCACTTTACATTTCCAACACCTGTTATCTACATTTCCATACATTTTTGCTATCTTTTGTGGGGTTAGGTACCAACGGTGTAGCATTTTCAGCCAGTTCTCTTTTAGATCTGAGGCGTAGGTATATTTAAGCCTTTTCTTCCAGATAATCTCCCACTCCCTTAAATGGATAGTTCTCCCTATATTTCTTGCCCATAGGACCATTGAGTTCTTAATGATTTCTGTTTCGGTGGCCCACCCCAACAGATTTTGGTATATGGTTGTTATAATTTTTCTTTCCCTCTTATGGAGTCTATCCCATAGATCTGTTTCCTCCCCAAAGCCTAGTTTTCTGTCTTCTCTAAAGCTTTCCTTAATCTGGGCATAATGCAGCCATGAAACGTTCTTAAAATCTTGAGCTATCTCTTTTTGCGTTTTTAGTTCCCAGGATCCGGACTTTTTGTGAAGTAAATCTTTGTATGAGGGCCAAGAGACCCAGCCCAGGAGTCTGCGGTGTTTGGCCTCAAGGGGTGAGATCCATAGAGGGGTTTTCTGAAAAAAATATTTTTTGTGTCTTTCCCACACTTTTATTAGGGCGGACCTTACGAAGTGGTTACCAAAGTTTCCTTCTTTCTTGGTCCCTTCATACCATAGGTATTCATGCCAACCCTTGCGAAGGTCAAACCCCTCGATGGTTAAGATTTTAATATTCTGTAATTTGGATCCAGGTTAATGCAGCGGCATCATAGTATGTTTGCAGGTCCGGGAGACCGAATCCTCCTTTGTGGGTTGGCATTGTCATTATCTTGTGCTTTATCCTGGGTCTCTTGTTTTTCCAGATGAACTTTGTAATTTCTTTATTCCATTCTCTGAAGATTTTGAGATTTCTAATGATGGGGAGGTTCTGGAAGACATATAGCAGTTTGGGGAGGACGTTCATTTTTATGGTTGCAACTCTACCCAAGAGTGATAGATTTAGTTTCGTCCATATTTCCATCTCCTTGTTGATCTCTTTCCATTTCTCTATATAATTATTTTCTAATAGATTTAGATTTCTCCGAGTGACCCATATTCCTAAATATTTGATCTTACTTACTACTTTGATTCCTGATAGATTTTCAAGTATCTTTTGATTTGCTTTTGAGATGTTTTTGGTTAGTAGCATAGTTTTCCTTCTGTTTAATTTGAGCCTCGCTACCTCTCCGTATTCTTCAATTTTGTCGAGCCAGAGTTGTATTTTTTCCCTTGGATTCTCTACCACGCATATGATGTCATCTGCGAAGGCTCTGAGTTTTAGCTCTTGTTTACCTATTTTCAGACCCTTTAGTGCTTCATCTTCCCTTATTTCTCTAAGTAAGACCTCTAGAGCAAAAATGAAGATTAAGGGGGATAGAGGGCATCCCTGCCTTGTGCCTTTTTCGATTGGGAAGTCCTTTGATGCTATTCCATTTATGACTAGTTTTGCCTTCTGATCTTTGTATATGGCCTCAATAGCATTTCTAAATTGGAACCCAAAGTCCATTTCCTGGAATAACGATTTGAAGAAGTCCCAGCAGATGTTATCAAACGCTTTTTCGGCGTCGATGGCCAGGAGTGCTACCTCTTTCTGATGGTGGGTTTCATAGTATTCGATTGTATCGAGAATAGATCTTACATTATCCTTGATGCTTCTGCCAGGCAGAAAGCCATTTTGATCTTCTCCTATCCATTTTATTAGGAAGGTCTTAAATCTGTTGGCCATAATGGTTGAAAAGATTTTATAGTCGTTATTTAGTAAAGCGATAGGGCGGTAGTTTCTGATGTCCTCTTTATCCGAACCCTCCTTGTGAATTAGAGTAATTTCCGCGAGTCTCCATGACTCTGGAATGACCCCTTCCTGTAGTGCTTTATTCATTACTTCTTTGAGGGTACTCCCGATTTCTTCCTGTAGCGTCTTATAAAGACCCGCCGTAAAGTCATCGGGGCCAGGAGCTTTATTGTTCTGAAGACCTTTGATCGCATTCTTAATTTCTTCTATTGTTATTTCTCGGTTTAGTTCCCCTCTTTGGTCGTCTGTAATTTTCCCTAATTTTTGCTTATTTAAGTATCTCACTATCTCTTCTATATTTACTTCTTTTTTACTATATAGTTCTCGGAAGTAGTTATGAAATTCTTCTATTATTTCGTTATCCTTTGTCAATATTCTATCTCCTATTTTTATTCTAGTTATTCGTTGTAGTTGGGTTTTCTTTCTTATTTTCCAGGCCAGTGATCTTCCTATTTTGTTGGCATTTTCAAATTCTCTTTGGCGAGTGAACTTTATTTGCTTTGCCATTCTCTCTAATTCGAGCATGTGTTTTTCTTTTTTTAGTATTTCCAGTTTTTCATTTAATCCTAGATTTTCTGGATTATCTTTAAGGTCTTTTTCTGTCTTCTCAATCTTCTTCTCTACCCGATCTCTTTGGTTGTTTTGAAGTCTATTTTTGATTGCAGCATGCTGGATTAAGTGCCCCCTTATTACTGCTTTATAAGCGTCCCATACGGTTTGAATCTTTGTGTCTTCTCTTGTATTTAGTTGGAAATAGTCCCGTGTTTTTTCTTTGTATTTCTTTATGTCCCCTTCTGATTTGAGCAAGTTCTCATCCAGTCTCCATTTTCTTCTTCCTTGTCTATGGTTTATTATCATGATAATCGGGTTGTGGTCTGAGTGATCTCGCGGTAGTATTTTTATTTCTGTTACTTTTGATGTAATTGTTTTCGTAGTCCAGATCATGTCGATTCTGGTCCAGACACGATGTCTATTGGAATAGTGCGTATAGTCCTTTACCCCTGTGTTATGCACCCTCCAGGTATCAACTAGATCGAATTCTTCCAGACAACTCAGGAAGTTATTTGGTAGGGTATTTGTCTTTTCTATTTTTTTCCTTTTCTGGGATTTGGTTCTGTCCAATTCTGGGTTTATTATTCCATTAAAGTCTCCTAGTATGACCATGTGGGAGTAGTCTTCTGCCAGGATTTTTTCTTTCAGGGCCCTTACAAATTTACCTTTGGGGCCATTGGGGGCATATATATTGATTATAAGAATGTTCTCTGTGCCAACCATTATTCTAACTGCTAGAATTCTGCCCTCCAAGTCCTTAAAGATGAGATCCGATGGAATACTCTCATCTATATAGAGTGCTACCCCCCTTTTTTTTTCCGGGGCGGAGGAATGATACAATTTGCCTAGTTTTTTATTTGTTAAGTGTATTGAGTGACGTTGGGATATATGGGTTTCCTGTAGGGCGATTATGTTGTATTTGCCTCGTTTTAGATGATTAAATATCATTTTCCTTTTGTTTGGAGAGTTTAACCCATTTACATTATTAGAGTAAAACTTTACCTGTTGTGTAATGTCACCCATTTCGCTCTTTTACTTCATCATCGTCCATTTCGTCAAACTCCTCTCCGTCATCCTGTATCTCATTGTTTAGACTTGCATCTGGGGTCGTTTTGCCGGCATCGGGGGATTTGCTTCTCTTCCTCTTTGATTTCTTCCTTTTTTCCTCTGGTCTTTGAGGGGTTCTGATTTTGAATTCTTTTTCTAATCTCTTAAAAAAGTCTTTGGCTTTATCCTCAGAGGTAAGCCAATATCTTTCCCCTTTATAGGTGGTCATAATTCCTTCCTGTTTCTCCCAGCGGAACCTGATGTTTAATCTTTTAAGTTCATCAGTTAGGAAGAAATACTTCCTCCTTTTATTTAGGGTATCTGGTGGGAATTCTTTTAGTATTAGTACTTTGGACTCCATATGGTATATTGGTTTTAAATGACTGGCTCTCAGTACCTCATCCCTAGTCTTTTTCCTGACAAAATTTACCAATATGTCTTTTGGGGTCTTATTTCTTTTCGCATAATTAGTATGTATCCTGTACACCCTGTCTAGACCATTGTCAATTTCTTGTGTTGATGTATCTAATAATTTAGCTAGGAGATTGATCATAGTCTCTCTGATGTTTTCTTTTTCTGTTTCCACTATATTTCTAAAGCGGAGTTGGTATTCCGTATCGTTTTGTACTAACTTCTCTTGCACTTTCTCTACTTTAAGATTTTGTTTTTCTATCTTTTCCATTTTTTTTCCCAGATTCTGTTGGACTTTTTCTACTTTCATATTATTTACTTTAGCTTCATTAATCTCTTGCAGTGCCTTAGTTAATTCTCCTTTCATTTGTTTCATATCTTCCTTAAGCTCGTTTTTAATTTGTGCAACCTCTGTTTGGATAGCTTTTTGCTGGGCTTCCTGTTTCTCTGCCCTGGCCTGGAAATCTGCTTGTAATTTATCTTGTTTTTCCGACAGGCCTTGTATTTCCTTTTGTATTCCCATTAATAGTTCTTTTATCCCCGGTTCTTCAGGTGTTTGAGGGCCTACAACTGTTGGTGGGCCTGCCACTGAGTGTCTTCTAGATGTGCCTTTCATGTCTTTTATCTCTTTCAGGTCTTTATCCTGTCTAATTTTTATATTTGCCATAACTATTTATCAGGTTTTTTGGGGGGGGGGTGGGCTCAGTGTCTTGGTCTCTTTTTTCCTTTGAGATTGGGGTGATGGCTACTGAGGTTGCTTTTAAATGATTGTATTCTTTTTGTATCTCACCCTTATTCTCTTTCCTCCCCTTTTAGGTTCCTCATCTTAGGGTCTTTATCTCCTTTTGGTGTTTCCCTCTATCTCTTTTCTTCGTGTTTCCTCTTCTATACTTTTCCTCCTCTATACTCTATACTCTTCTATATTATTTCCTTCCTTTAGACTTCTTTTCCTATTCTTTCATCCCTTTGCTCTGTTGTTTTGACCTGAGTCCTGAGTCCCAAGGTCACCACCCTTGATATAAACAGGCTAATTTGATTTTAGCCTGGGGTATTTTCCTGTTCTTACTCTGTTTGGATTAACTATAATCTCTCCTTTGCAGTCCTTTGCAGTCTTTCTATGCCTCTTCTGTATCTCTCCCTAACCACCTTTTTACTCTTCTCCTCCTCCTTTCCTTTTTGTTGTCACGCTATTTCCCCACAGTGGGTCCCTCTGTCCTCTAGTTCTGTTGTCTATTCTCTTCTCTTCCGTCTCCTTCCGTCTCTTTTGTCTCTCCCACTCACCGTCGCTTGTCCAGCTCTCCAGCTCTCCACCCGACACTATTTCACCTCGATCCCCCGAGGTCGCAGCCAGTCCCCCAGGCCGCGGCTGTGCCGTCGCTGGGCCTGGGCCTCCTCCGCGGCAGCCCAGGGCCTTCACCACCGTCTCCGCGGGTCCCTCCGCAGCCGGGTCGCGGCCTCGGGGCCACGCAGATCCCTCTGCCTCCGCCGCCGAGCTGCGCCTCCGCTGTCTCCGCTGCCTCCCCCACGGGTCCTAAAGTCCTCCACGTGGCTCCCTCGCCTCCTTCGCTGCCTCTCCCGGCAGCCCACCGACATCAGCCGGGACCAGAAGCGAGATGGCTCCCAGGGACGGCTGGTTCAGATTCAGTTCTCTCTCGGTCAGGTTACTGTTTATTGTTTTGTTCTTGGGCTTTGGATTTTTGGCGTGTTTCTGGCGAGTCCGGCCAGTACGGCCTCGTTTTCCGCTCCTTTCCCTCTGTTGTGGGCGGGTTTCCTGGAATTTCAAGCCTTTGTTTTCTTTCTCTATTTTCTTTCTTCTTGTCTTGAGGGCTTTCACAACTTTTTTTCCTCCATATCAATCCCTTCCTCCTTTCTTCCTCTCTTCCTCTCTTCGTCACTTCGTCCCTTTCTTCTTTACTCAACTCCTTTACTTCCCTTCTTTACTCTATGTCTTTACTTCTCCTTACTCTCTCTCTCTTTTTAGCTTCTCAGCGTCTCCTTTCCTCCTCCAAGTACTACATATACTTCTCCGTAGTTTAGTTCTTTAGTTAATTTAGTTCTTGCTTCTCTGCTCCTGTTTGATTGGGGATTGGAGGCTCGGGCTTATTGTATTGATAGCTCTAGAGCCCTAGAGCTTGGCTTATGGCTTGTATGGCTTGTATCTTACGTCTTGCATCCTCTTCCAAAGAGCTTGTATCTTATTATATCTTATTTGGAGTAATATTGTGGGGTTTTCCCCCAATATTCTTTATGTTGTACAGTTCAGTCTTTATATTTAATATTCATTAGAATTTTCTTATATTTTCTTGTGATTAAGGAGGAATACAGTGAATGAATGAAAAGAGTCCTTTCTTCTTACTCACGCTTCCTTAGCGTCCTCATTTCTTCTATCCTTTGCCGAATTAGGATGGTTGCGAAGGTAGTTAATGCGGGGTTTCCCCCACTTCCTGACCCTAGGCTCGCACGCTGCGACTACGACCCCTCGAGACCCCAAACTTAATTTGGCGCCCTTGGGGGAGTCAAGCAGCCTAGCGACTCTCTGTCCCCTTACTCCAGGACAGAGAGGGGGGCCAGAAACCCCTCTAAGCCTAGAGAATCGGTTGGCTTGGCGAGAGAGCTCACCAAACCCAGCCTGCCTCCATGAGCGTCCCACCGGAAGTCCTCACATAAACATTTATTGAGCGGAAAGGGGTCATGAGCAGAAAAAGAAGCCCTGACTTAGATCAGGGCAGAACCTGGAAAAATTACCTTTTTGTACTGATGTGAACAGAACCAATCCAACCTCTGTAACCACTAGTTTCAGTTGTAATCCAGGGCTATAATACAAAACTCTATGAGTTTCAGTGTGGATTTCTGTATGAAAAGGAGTTCACTGGATGGTCATTGAGGTGTCTTCCAATTCTATGTTTCTACCCCAAACTCATAGGTTTTGGCTCAAGATTTAATTCTTGCATATATAGTATAGCAGTCCCAAACAACCAGACAGCATATCTGTCACTTAGTCCTCAGTGACTCCTTTGCCCCGTTACAGTTTACAGTGGCTGGGAAAATCCCAGGACTTTTCACTAGGAAAAGCATTCTCCCTCCTCAGTCCCTAAGCAGTTGCTTGTTTAGCCTTCCACCTGTGAGGCTTTTGCTGTCTTTTATAGCGTCTCTTTGAGGCCATCCAGAGTTTTCAGACAGTGAAAATAGCAAGCCACTTTGGAAACCTTGAGCCTAAATAAGGTTGTTTGCAGCTCATACCTTACCAGGATAGCACCTTCCTGGCCAAGTCTCCTACCCAAAATTTCTGTTTGAAACTCATTTTAAGGAATTGGCTTGAGATTCCACCTTCTTTTAAAAATTGTACGTGAAGTCCTTCCCTCTAAGTCAGAGGGCTGACTTGGTTGATCCATATATGCATTCACATGTGCACTTTATTTTCTGAAAGTGTGGTTTTCCATAGTTGAAGGCAGGCCCATAGCCAGGATTTTGATTCAGGGGGAGCTGAGTTTGATTGGGCGTGGGCTGAGTCTGAGTGAAAGAGGGTCTACCCTAGCAAACCTTTTGTATCGTTACCCCAATACCCCCATGCATATGGGATATATTGAGCATGGTGATCAGATAATGATATGAATAAACGTAACAGTTTAAATAATGTACCAGTAAGGCCTTCTGCACCACCATGAGAATTTGGGGGGGGGGGGCTGAAGCCCTCAAGCCCCCCCCCCCCCCCCGGCTACATGCCTGGATGGAGGAATACTTTGACCGAACTTGTATGCATGTGACTTGACGTGCTGTAATTCTCCGTTAGGCTAAAATGAAAAGTTAGCGGGGGCAAGGAAGCCACTAAACATAACAGATTGGTCCTGACTGTCCAGAAGGGAGCTCTGTCCTCCATTACAGACACGGTTGGCCTGCAATTCTATCAACATCTCTCATTATTAGCTAAGGCTAAGGTGAGCTACAGTCTTAACAACAGCAGAGGCCAACAGGATTCCTGCTTCTCACCTGGAGATTGGTCTAAGAATGCCGCCCCCCTTCCCACCTGGTTGCTGGTTTAGCATTATTTGGATACAGACTATATGTGATATGTCTAACATGCTATTGTTTTCACTAAAAGATTCAGTTATATCAAAGTGTACCCCAAGGGAGTCACTCTTGGCCCATTACTGGGACTGTGATTTAACTCCCCATGGGGTTGATGTGGATGAGAATGTTAGCTCATCATTTGTATGTTGGTATGGGAGTCCCCACATCTTGTCACAGAGAGGGTTACGAATGTGGTAGGACTGAACAAGAAATTGGGGCACAAAGGCTTGTAGGGATGTTGCAGGATTGAAGTCCCAACTCACTCCACTCTGTTATTCTTCTCTTGCAGAGCGTCTCAAGACAGAACCTTTCAAGGAAGAATCTTTCCTCCAGACATTTCAGTCTCAGGTAGGAGAATGTTTCTTCTTTCTTTATTAAGACAGATCCTCTCTCAGTTAATTTGGCAAGTTATAGTTTCATGTACTGTTTTGAACTCTCATTCGTAGGATGCAGTGCTTCAGTGTGTAATGGACTGTAAATGAACCCCATGGTTCTCTAGAGGAGTGGTTCTCAACTCCCAGAAATCCTAACAGCTGGTAAACTGACTGGGATTTCTGGGAGTTGTAGGCCAAAACACCTGAGAACCCACAGGTTGAGAGCCACTTATCTAGAGGGGCTTAATGTCTGATAGGAGTGGTTACTTTTACATAAGATTGCGTAATGTGGTCTTTGTACACTGTTTTAGAGTCATGCTATAAAGGATGAACCGTTGTGTAGTGCTCTGTTAAGCTCCAGTTGACATGTATTGTCGGAACCCAGACGCCTTAACGAGCCAGACACAAGAGTATGTCCGAAAGAATAGTTTATTAATACAAAGCAAAAGGGACTCAGAAACACTTACTTCAGTGTCCCTGGTCAAAACTCAAAAGCAGCAGCAAGTTTCATCTTGAAAAACAAACTAAAGTAATAATCCGGATTATTCAGAGAAAAGATCAGGATTAAACTGAAGTGCTTCCAAAGTCACGCAAAACAACACAGCAAATGAAGGATGAACAAACAAAGAGCCGTGAAGAAAGAGCTGTAGTCAAATGAAGTCCAAGGTCGAAGAAAGCCAAGTCCGAAGTTGCGAGGTTCCAAAGTCATAGGCAGCGTCGTCGTCAAAAGCAGTCCGAAGTCAAGGAAGGGGAAATCTGCACTCACGAGAATCCAAGCCGAGTTGTAACATGAATGGAAGCAGCAACCTGCAGATCCAGGACCCCAGCCCAACACGAAAATGGCAGCGACAAAACCCAAGGCACGAAACCAACACTTTGCCTTCTGCAAAGTTCTTCCATTTCAGTGCCTACTTTTATCTTACACCTCATCATCCAATGATGAGCTGACCTCCACCCCATCATTATCCTTTACAGCTGTCCTTGCTTCTGCACCTGAATGCCAACGCCCATCCCTCCAACTTTTCCACCTCTTGTCAAGACTTAGATCTCCCCAAGACTCCATAGTATCTCCCGATTGCCAATCCCCACCACCAGGAAACGTCACAAATGTGTCACTAGATGTTGGTTGAGTACATACATCTCGAACCTCTTGCACCTTGGTCCAAGCCAATGTGTTATCCCCTTCCCCATCACTCCCAGACCCATCACTCCCAGAGAAACCCATGAAAGACTCTTCGACTGTGGGAGCAGTAAGTTTATCCCGGATCTTCTTCCTCTGTCGCTCCTCATCCAATTCCTGCTCCCGAGTAACCCTCTTATTTTCCCTATTCACATCCATTGCATCTCCTTCCTCCTCCTCACTCCTTGACCCTTCGCTCTCAGAAAACCCTTCGAAGGAATCTTCGTCGGTTGGTGACATAAGTATCTTCCGGATCCTTTTCCTCTGTTGCTCCTCATCTAACTCTTGAGCACTCCTTTCCCCCCTTCTGACACCCATACTACCAGTTGCAGTGTTGCTAATAGGCTGTACTACAACACTTATGATTATGTGCCATGGATTTTGAATTAGAATATAATCTTAGGGCCCTTCCACACAGCCATATAACCCATAATATCAAGGCAGAAAATCCCACAATATCTGCTTTGAACTGGGTTATCTGAGTCCATACTGCCATATATTCCAGTTCGAAGCAGATAATATGGAATTTTATTCAGTTGCGTGGAAGGGGCCTAAGTAAAAAATGACTTAGAAGAACACATTTTCTCCAAAGATTCAAAGCAATTGCAAGGCATTCTCTCTTCCCTGGGAATAACAGGGGCTGTAGATGTATGAAGAAGAATTAGGATTTTGTAGGCCCCATTGACACTGCCACATAATGCAGTTTGAAACTGCATTGTATGGTCAGTCTAGACTCATATAATGCAGTACAGTGCAGTTAAACTACATTATATGAATATACACTAACTATATAATGCAGATTCAAACTGCATTATGGTAGCGTAGTTGTGACCTAAGACTTAGCAACAGCAGCAAACTGCAGTTGCCGAGATTCTTTGGAGTAAGACATGGCAATTACATTGATGTCATACTAATATATGCTAAGAGTTTTGCCAAGGGAGATAGTGTCTGCATAATTGGTGTTTGCAAAGCATTTCCCCTCGTTCCTACTATTGAAGTTCTCTTATTCTATGAAATCTCCAATACCTTATCAACTTTTCTGTTCTTCTCAAAGCAGATGTAAAAAGTATCCAACAGCCAGAACAGGAATCCAGAACACCCCTTGTTTTTTTGGAGCACACACTTTGGCAGGTCTTATCTTCCTGTTCTTCTGCCATTTGGCAGGTCTTCTCTTCCTGTTCTTCTGCCATTTGGCATTTTTCTTCCTAGTACTAACTATGCCTCTACCCACCCTTCTTATCTCCATATTGCTTGGTTTCCTGCTTCATGAAGTCTACATGAATGCCAGCATAGTAATATTTTGGACATTAGTAGTGTTGACGTTTGTTGTTTAGTGCCGCTATTTGCATATAGTCCTCTCACATTTATGCTAGGAATTGTTTTCAGAGAGCTTTCATCATACTGCTCAGAGTTGCATCTAGGCAAGACCTGTACAACCCACCATGTTGAACATAGGCTGCCAAACATGTATGCTATGATCACACGAAGGTTTCATATGGCTTTGCTTGCCTACATAGTATGCTAAATGGACAGCATTATATAGAATGTAACTGCTCATGGATGTCCCTATCAACAAATGATTTGGCTGATGATAGCTGAACAACCTTCTCCCCATAGCTGTAGCTCAGTGACAGAACATATGCTTAACATGCCAAAAGATCCCAGATCCAGTTCTCATTATCTCCAGGGAATGGTTCTTACTGAAACCTCTGGAAGCCATTACCAGTCAGTATCAGGCAGGTTCCTATCTAGAAGTATACAGACTAATGTTGCAGACCTCTTTATACTCTCACCCTGAGCTAAGATATGGTCTGAGAACAACTTACAGAAGTGGCAAGAAAACTATTCTGTAGAATTGAGGATCAGCTCAGTGTTAGATTGCGAGGCAGTGGTTGTTGGGATTCAGCCCCACACTGCCCAAGTCTCAGGTCCTCAATGAGAAATAGTTTAGTTAGCTTAGAATAGGCTGAGGTTTTCCCTTCCCCAGGTCTCCTGAATGACAGTTGGAATATATCAAATTTCTTATCTCCTTTCTGTTTCTGCTCTCATTCTCATTGGTTGTATAGAATGCATACTTTTCTATTGCAAGCCTTTACTTCGACTTTGAATACTTTATATGAGTAGTAAGAAGAAATGTGAAAGCCTGGGGGGAAATGCAGAAAGAACAGGGAGGCATGGGGCTCGTTGAAAATTGAGGAATTGGAGGTGAAATCTTTTTTGTCTCCTTTACTAATGATGAGGGTTTCTTATTTTTTAATTGGAATTGTGGATCAGCAATTAGGAGAGATTATTAGGATTGTCCTATAATCGAATGGTGTTTTTTTGGTCTGTCTGTATGAGGTATAGGATCTAGAAATAAAGAGCAGAAGTAATTTGCTGGTGGGGTTTACTTCAGGATGTATCTAAACCAGACTTTCCCTCTCCTTCAAATAGGCAAAACCAAAAAGTTCTCCTTTCATTCAGGGGTTTTGCTGTAGCTTAGGGCATTGTAATTCTATTTTTTTAGAATGCAGAAAATTAATTTGTAATTATATTCTGAATTAATTGTACTTTTAGCATATTAATATGCCAAACCATTTTATATACAATGCATTCATGTTCCTAAAGTAACGAAGTGGCTTTCTGAAAAGAAGGCGAATATTTCATTTTTAACTCTTTCTCATTTTTTCCCCTGTGACTTACATCTGTAGTGGCAGAACAATGGAAGAACTTGATAGAGGAAAGCTATGTAAGGCTCAGGTTAAGGGGACATATACATGCTAATCAGTGCATTGTGTTGTCTGAAGGTTTCCAATTGTTGCCTGGCTTTATATGGGATGTATATCAGGTAAGGCTGCACGCCAGTATGTGTTCCCTTCTATACTTTACTCTGCAAGAGATATTTCTTTTGTGGGTATTATTAGCTACAGCCTGTTTATCAGTGATCACAAAGCTTGGACCAAGTAGGATCGTTGTGCCTATAGTTCTTTGAGCTAAAGGACTTGCCTGTACCATGGCCTAAGAACAAATTTCTGTTCACCACTCATTTTTAAGTCATCAAGATGTAACTGATTCAAATATAGCCTCTCTCCCAAGAAATTTATCCAGAATATTTTTATACACTGTGGTCCTGATTTCTGTGCTGTGTCTCTTGTCCGTCTCTGTGCAGTTAGCTGCAGCAAACAGGACGCTGAGGGTTCACGGGTCAACTTGGGCTGGACCAGAAGGATGTGCCATCAAAATAAGCAATGTCGAAAAGGAAGATAAACAAACAGGCGGCTCCTCTGTGTGTCCGTCACCGCAGTAGCTGCGCAAGCCGAGTGAGCGATAGAGCAGGGAGTGTGGACATCTGTGAGAGTGCACCCACCCACTGACGTCAGTAAGTGCTGGGTCAAACCTGCTGTTAGCTCAGTGGGGGTGACTTCCTGGGTGATGGGGGTTCCCTCCACATGATATGGGTAGAGAGGATCATTATAAGGCGACTATGCGCAAGCTATGGATTCTTGAAGATTACAAGGAATTGTGGATCAGCAATTAGGAGAGATGATTAGGATTGTCCTATAATCGAATGGTGTTTTTTTGGGCTGTCTGTATGAGGTATAGGATCTAGAAATAAAGAGCAGAAGTAATTTGCTGGTGGGGTTTACTTCAGGATGTATCTAAACCAGACTGCCACTGTCACAGTCTTTAACTAATCATCCTTAGAGAATGTATAATTTCATATCATACCTGAACTGCAGTTTTGTGTGAGAGTTCCTTATCACACTACACTGTTATAGCATTTTTATTCTGTATTCTTGCCAGCATCCTATGGA